TAAAAGTCTTCAATGGTAATATAAAATGTTACATCAACTAAGAAAGAAAACATTTAAACCAATAAAAATGACATACTGTACAACTAAGTTTAAAGCAAGAAATATCAATCGTGCAGTGCGTACTTGTTCAGGCGTACTGTACAGTAATTGTCACTTTTTGTGCATTGGAGGCACTATTTGCATGTATTCGCGATCTTTATGAATAGAATAATAACACTTGTTTTGGCCATTATGGTCATGTTTTTATTCGGAAATCACTTCAAATGAATCCACACAGATAATTTTGGCTTTTAAGTATTTTTTTGCAGAAAACAGTAAAATCCAAGTCATATTTCTTGACAAAATTTTGCTTCCGTCACAAGGCTTAGGCCTACCTGGCCCTGTAACTTGTTGCATAGGCAAAGGTGTACCCTCACCACACTGAGATGCTATGAAACTTTGAACTCTCTGAATTACAAATTTTCTCATTTATGAACTTTGTTCAGACGGAGGGGTACATAATTGGGAAATGTTACTGTACTGTATTTTAGAGAGGGTACTACATAGTCACACCTCCTGCACATAATTAACAGATACTGTACGACCAAAAGAAGATTACAGTACAAAATTTTTAAACATTAATACTTTACTCTATGTTACTAGCTTTTTTGTTGGTTTTTTTCTAGTGTTTTTTGATTTGACATTTTTACCTCAGCCTCAATTGTTCTAATTTTTAAGTAATTTCAGCCTCAGTATTCTTATAAAATGTGTTCTTAGTTAAAAAAAAAAGTGTAACTGTGTTAGGCAAGACTTTCTTATACCTTGTTTCACTAACTTATTTTGTTAAATATCGTCAGAGAGGGCGGAAAAAAAATAAAAATAAATGTTTGTTTTTCTATAGCAAATGGTTTTGCCAGAAACATCCAGACAGGCAAAAATAACAAGATATTGTTTATTTATTTATTTAATCTTTCTTTACATGTAGGCACTTTCAGTACTATAGTACTGATTTTCAAAGTGGTACAGTGACGAGAAACATATTTACAGTAGTAATAAAACAAAGAATAAAGTAAAATAAAATTTGAAAATATTAATTTAAATGATTTTGGAATGAAAAAGTCGACATCTCATTAAAATAAATTTTTAATTTGTGTAGTAGTTCATCCTGTCTAATATTATACATTGGAAGAACCAGGTTGTTATGGGTTTGGCTACGTGTGCCTTTAGAATGGGTAGTATTGTTAAAGGTAAATTTTGAAGACAAATATTGAGGGGCATATCCTTTTAAGCATTTGAAAGTCATAAGAATAATTTTTCATACCAAATCACATTAAGTGTACTCCATCCAAGGGCACTTAAAATATTCACATGATTCTAAATATCAACAGAAAGTAAAATTCTACCTAGTCTATTCATAAGAACTTGTAAAAAGTTAGAATTTTGAACATTACAATTAGACCAGACACCAGGGGCGGATCCAGAGATGTCCAAAAGGGGGGGGGCCGAAAGGGGTGACGAAATTTGGGCCGATCGAGACAACAATGTCCTAGGGGGTCTGGGGGCATGCCCCCGTGAAATTTTTGTGTTTTAGACGCCCAAAAATAACATTTGAGGCGTTGTGGGCTATCATTTTTTTCTTTTTCCTTCTTTTTTTCTTTTTTTTACCTTTCAAAATGGGGGGCCGGCCCCCCCCTAAATCCGCCCCTGGACACAACAACAATGATCGAAAAAGAGGAAAAAATTAAAGCATTTGCTAACGTTTTGATGTATAAGAAGGAAGAAAATATTTAGTATGTTGGATGACACCAATACGCTTTGAAACATTAGATGAAACATTGTTTATATGGTCTTTCCAAGTTAACCCTCTAGATACCGTCTTCGACTGTAGTCGAAATTAACCTCAAACCGAGAATTCCCATTTTCGACTGCAATCGAAATTTAGTGACTAAAAAATAGGTGGTTTTCAAATCGCTCTTCTGTTTTTATTTTAGCTCCAATACGTCAGAGATTTTGAACACGCATGCGTGAAGCCTTCGTCTTTCGAAATCTGTGAAGAACTCACATGCGCTTATATAAAAAT